GTAAATACTATTTTTTAATAATATTAAAACTTAAAAGTGATAGAAATAGTCTAATTGCACATTTGAAAACATCGCGAAATGTTGATTTAGAATATTATATTTTTGTTTCTGATGAAAGTTCCTTGTAGTTTAGTGTGTAAAACTTATAACTTTGTTAACTGTTAAACTTTATCAAAAATGACCAAATCAGTACAATTTTTTTTTTATATAGATGCATGTCTTTATCTATCATTTGGTTTTTTTTTTATAAATCTAAACCTTTACCTGCCCACAAGAAGGATTCAAAATAATAATTTTTTTTTTTTTAGTTAAAGTAAATCATTAAAATTAATTCAGTTCTGGATATTTTAATTTTAGAATCTTTTTAAATACCAAAAATTACTTAGAAATGATTACTATGATTTCTATTTAAGTGCGCTATTACGATAAAAATGCAAAAAAATAATAAGTTTTTCTGATAAATATACTGTAAATAGTAATTATAAAATTTCCTGACTGCATATTAATCTTAAAAATAACATTGTTTTAATTCTCATAAAATTTTCTATTTAATGATTCATTCTAGTCAACGAAGGAGTAATTTTGGCGAATAGCAGAAAAAATTCCCAACCAAATTTTTTTTTTTTTAAAGTAGGAAATTGGTGGATTATTCCAAAAGCAACATCAACTCTTATTTCTTTAATTATATCATGATTAGTAGTTCTTTGATTTTAAAATATAATATATGAATAAATACTAATTATAATTATTAAATTTAGTATGAAATTGATATTTAATATTGTAATTTAAACGGAGAAATTATAAAAATAATAAAGAAGTTATATTTTGCTTTACCTTTACGTGTATAAAAATTTAAAGGGCTTGATACAATAATTTTCAAAAAAACTGTTACTTTAAAAAAATACACTGGACTACAAGGAACTTTCATCAGAAGCAAAAATATACTTTTCTAAATCAATTTTTCGCGTTGTTTTCAAATCTGCAAGTAGACCTTTTCTATCACTTCTACTTTTTTATATTATTACTAATTATATATAAAATAATAATTAAAAGAAAAAAAAAATTTGTTTTCAAATTATTACTGATTTGATTTTTAATATGTTAAAAATAATCAGTCCAAATTTTCAATTTTAACCTATTTTTTTGGTTCTTTAAAGTTGATGAAAAATTTTTGATAAAGATTTATGAAAGTTTATAGTAAAATAAATTGAATATATTACCATAACTTTTAGCTCAATTANTCTATAATAAAAAAAATTGAATATATTACCATAACTTTTATCTCAATTACAAATTTAAAATTGACTATTAGGCCAGTCAACATAGGAAAAATTGCAAAAAAAATTCCCAACCAAATTTTGTTTTTTTAAAAGTTGAATTAAAATATGTATAATGACGTACTAATAGTCCTCATTATTCGGAAAAGACCTTTTTTTTTACAGCTTCGCAAAAGTTCAAAAATATGAGCTTTTTTAATTTTCTCAAAAAATATTTAACTTACAAAAAAAAGTTTCGTACAAAAGTTGTTTAAAAGACAATTATAAACAAAAAAATTATTTTAAATTTTTTCATTTAAACAAACATTTTTCGAGTTACATTACATTTAATATGAGTACTAAAATTTATATTCCATTTTTTTCACTTTACGATTACTTTTTATCGTGTTACACTTACGTTAGACACAATGTTATAAATGCATATGTGTGTACGTGTGAGTTTATTTATTTATTGTATTATTAAAGTGTAGTGTATATTAATATACAAGCGATAGAGTAGGTAATTGATTTGACGCTATATTATTTAAACCCAACTAAACGCTAAATTGTACATTCCGAAACAACAATCATATTATGTCAATTGCCACCGGAATTTCTGGTAATATTTTTCTTTTTCTTTGCCTTAATCCCAACTACTTGGGATCGGCCACCCTTATCCTAAGCTTCCACTTGACACGATCTCCCACATCTTCTACGCTCACATCAGCTGTCCTCAAATCGCATTCAATAGCTTTCCTCAATCTCCTTTTTGGTCTTCCTCTACCTCTTCTTGCTTCAAAATTCATTTCTATAACTGTTCTTACAGCTTTCTATTCTTCTCTCCTCATAACATGACCAAAGCATCTAAGTCTATTTTCTCTCATCTTATTCAGAATTGACGCTACACCTATACTTCCTCTTATATGCTCGTTCCTTATCCTATCTTCTCTAGTCACTCCACTCATTCATCTAAGCATTCTCATCTCTGCTACACTTATTCTCTGCTCTACTTTCTTATCAACCGCCCAACACTATGAACCATACATCATAACTGGCCTCACAATTTCATACTAAATTTAAAAACTATAATTAGTATTTATTCATGTATTATATTTTAAAATCAAAGAACTATTAATCAGGATATAATTAAAGGAATAAGAGTTGATGTTGCTTTTGGAATAATCCACCAATTTCTCTAAATGAAACACCATCTACAGATTTGCATCGAAGCGTTACTTATGATAGTGATTTTAATCACTGTCAGATATCATCTATACTTGTCCCATCTATGCCTCGTCCACACTGTGCTTCGACCCCACTGTGCTACCGTTTTTTTTTACATTAGATTTAGATTATACTACTGTTATAACGAACAAAATTGTTATTTCCAGTATATTGAGACATTTCAATATGAAATTACTGATCAACAACAATCATCAGTTTGGTTATACAGCCATCTATCATTAATACAGTTATTATACATTACATCGTTATAGAGCTATATGTAGCTCCATAACGATATATAGCTTGATACATTATCTATCAATCTATATATATTGTGATCAAGAGGAGGGCGGAGCCTCTCGCAGCTTTGTGAGTCTAACACAATTTTAGCACCTCTAATTGCGCACTGTCCATCTACATTACCAAACCATTAATAACCTGCCAAAGTACTTCTAAAATTTGATATTTTGTCATTCCAGGCTGTTTAAAATCCTAGTATGACGTTGGTAGATACATCACAGATACTATCAAGTTCTGAAGTAAAGATTCGCCTGTCGCTGTTTGTAGTCAGATGTGTAAAGGTCGATTCACACTATACGAAACGTTATCGTCACGTCAAATTTGTTACTTATTCACATTATGTAGATACTTCATCATGTTAAAATTGAATAAGAAAACATTAACAATAATAGCAATAATTTAGTTTTCGATAAACATTGCCGTTCTGCGATGTTGACGTTACGTTACGTAGCCGGTTTATGTGAAAAATACGATATAAATACATAGTTAGATATTTTGACGTAATGCTGCCGATCTGTGACGTTGAAGTTCCGAATAGTGTGAATCGACCTTTATACGCCAATTTATGCGGCAAATACCATGTCCTCTAGTATAGTAAACAAGCGGAAAATAATTGTGGTTAATTATCCCCAGAATTCACCAGTCAATTGTAAAAAAGTTTCTGAATAATCATAGATATTTAAATGTATTTCTATACGTATGCTGATAACAATAATCAACGCATTGCATTATAATTGTAATTTTTTTTTTTTTAACATACCTATGTTAGAGACACTAACATAAGGAGGTAAATAAGGGAAGCCCCTCATGGGGCTGTAAATCATACTTCTCTTTTGCACTCCCAGAAATGTTGATCTAGTTGCGCTTATACTCATAACATGCCAACACAGAGCATATTTATTTACAGCTGTTAAATCTACGCAACTACAACGCTTCTTTTATAAAAAATTTTAATATTTAATTTTACTATATTTTCGTGCAGGGAATCTAATGTGGTTGAAATTTGGATATAACTTTTTTTTTGGCGTTTTTCCTAAAAGTTCAACTGGAATTTCATAGACTAAATAATTGATAAATATAAAAACGTTTTACGTTTTTCCAATTTAAAATTAAACAGTTTAAATTTTGATAGTAATTAAACGTCTATTCAATGAATTATTTGTATCGAAAAAAAACCCAGCACTGGGGGTCGCAGACCAGTGGTGACGTGGCATAGTTAATCAAGTATTATGATATCTGACAGTGATTAAAATCACTATAAAAAAAAAATGCTTCCATGCAAATCTTAAGATAGTGTTGAATTTTAAAAAATTGGTAGATTATTTCAAAAGCTACATGATCTGCTAGTTCCTTAGTAATATCCTGATTAAGATAAAGTATGTTGAATGAAAGAGGGATTATTAAAAAATATTATTTCTCATAAAAAAATTGTGTTGATCCATGCACTTCTCAATAAGTTATAGCATTATAATGTTAAAAATGTAAAAAATAAAATCGAGAATTTTCACACAATAATAGTATTCGGTAGCCATTTTCACCGTGAAGATAAAATATAGTCCGAAATTTTTTTTTTCCATGATAAAGTATATTACATTAGCTTTATTTAAGATATATATATAAAAGTGTCTGACTTTCCGGAACATTTTCAAAAGTTAATTTTTTGTGAAAAAGTTGTCATTTTAAATGCCCCCCCCCCGTGGACAGGTAAAGGGTTAAATTTATAAAAAAAATATATACCAAATGATAGGTAAAGGAATCATGCATCTATATAAAAAAAATGATATTGATATGTTCACTTTTAAAAAAATTTTTATTAAAAAAAATTGAAAAAATGTCAAAAATTAGCGATTTTTAAATTTGTAATTTTTTTGGAGGTTTCCCCTATTTACTGGGAACAAAGGAAATTTTTTTAATTTTTGAGGGTAATGTCTTCGACTAGATACGATTTGTGATCTTTTGACGTATCGTTGAAAGAAATCCGTTGGGTGAGAGCTGAGAAAAAGTGGTAACAGACACAAAAAAAAAAAAAACACATCATAGTAAAACCAATACCTTCTCAGCTTCGCATCGAAGCTAAAAATTAATGCGGTTATACAATTATAGAATTGTTAATTGAAATTAAAAAATCTAACGGTTGAAAAAAAAGGCTATTTTATATGGCAATCTAACTAGACGCCATAAAAAATATCTATTAATAAAAATGTAGGGTTTATTTTTCAGGAAAAATATAATGATCAATCAGAAAATCTACAAATAAAAGATAAATTAATCTATGGAAAAGAAATTGTGAAAATATATTGGTCAGGCGATCGAGCAGAAATTATTTGTGCTGACAATAGCCACTTTCAAGCAGATTATGTTATACTGACGGTTAGTCTTGGCGTTCTAAAAAATGTGTATAATGAATTATTTGAACCTGAACTTCCAGAGTACAAGTTAAAAGCAATAAAGGTATGTAATAAATAATTAATACATTAGAATGTATATTATGACTAATTTGTTAATTTTTAACTAATTAAATAAAGTAAATTTTCTTTAGTTTAGTTTTAGTTTTAGTTATTATTGAGGTGGACATAATGCCCATGCACTCAGACCTGTTGGTCCATTGTGCGCACCTCATACCGAATTGTCTTGATTCGGTTTACCCACCTAAGTGTTATCACCAAAGTGTTAATACATTACCAACCATAAAGTCACCTCTAGAGATGACCAAAGAGTCCTGTCTTTCTGGCGAAATTAAGTATCTCCCTGGGTTTTAGGTTTTTAATATCCTCTTTTTCAGGAAATGGTTTATTCAAGTAGTTTGATCTTAGTGTGGACAAGGCTTCACATTCGCACATGATGTGAAATGAGTCTTCCTCTTCTACTCCACATTTTCTGCACAATGGTGATTCCGATACCCCCATTGCGTTAAGATGCTTAAGCAGGTGACCATGTCCTGTCAGTAGACCAGTCAGGGTGCTTATTTGATGTCTAGTCATGCTATTAAGATCACCCAGCAATAAACCAGGGGTCTTGATAAACATTTTAGATTGTCTAGGTACTACCAAGTACTTCCAGATTTTCCTGTGTTGTTCTCTGCACCAATTCTTGGGTAACGCTTTGAGCGATTGCTCAGTGAGCCCTACCACTGGTTCTGGTCCAACATAGGTGTTCTCTGCTCCTTTCCTGGCTAGAAAGTCAGCATTCTCATTTCCAGTGACACCGTTGTGTCCTGGTACCCACGCTAGTGTAACTTTGTTGAACCTCGATAGTGATTCTAAAGTTTCCCTGCATTCGAGGACCAGCTTTGAATTCACCTGATCGTTACAGAGTGCTTTCAAAGCCGCTTGACTATCACTTAAGATAGTTATCTTCCTATTTTTGTATACCAGCAGGTTCTGAGCCCCTACCAGTATCGCCATCACCTCTGCTTGGAAAACAGAGGGTGTTGTGCCCAATGACATACTGACATTTATTCGTGGCTTTAAGCCCCAAATTCCAGCACCTACCTTTCCTGATTTTTTGGATCCATCTGTATATATCACAAATCCTCCTTTGTCAGTCAGGTGGTTAATATTCCATTCTATACGTGTAGTGATCTCCACTTTGTAGGGAATGTTATTCTTAAGAACCGGTTTGATATAGTCCAAGGGGTATTCTAAAAAGCCCTTGTCTATCTCTTTTAGTATTTTACCATGTTCTGTTGTATCACTCTCCAAAGTCCACATACCTAAGTTGTGGAATCTTAGTGCTGTAGCTTTGGCGTGAGCTTTCACCTCTAGATGCAGAGGAGGCAATCCAATTAGTGCCTCTAATGCGACCGTTGGTGTAGTTCTTAATGCTCCAGTGATGGCAATAGCAGCCATTCTCTGTATGCGACTAAGTTCTTTCCTAGCTGTAATGAGTGCTGTTCTGGTCCACCAGACCAGGGCACCGTACAATATCATAGGTTTAATCACTGACGTGTACAACCAATACATAACTCTTGGTTTAAGACCCCATGTCTTTCCCAAGGCTCTGCTGCAAGTCCACAATGTGGTCATTGCTTTTTTGATTCTTGACTCAACATGTGATTTCCATTTTAGCTTACTATCCAAGATAATACCTAAGTATTTTACTTCTGATTTTAAGCTAATTTCTTGTCCATTCAGAGTAAGAGTGTCCAGGTTGTCTAGTCCTATTCTCTTTCTAGTGAACATAACAACCTCTGCTTTATTTGGATTAACAGATAGACCGTACTTACTACACCATATCTGTATAGTGTTAAGTCTCTGTTGTGCTAAGTCAATAATAGTGTCTGGGAATTTACCCACCACTGTTATAACCAAGTCATCCGCATAGGCTTGTGTATAACAATATTTGTTTAACTCTCTAATAAGCGAGTCCAATACTAGACACCATAGCAAGGGGGATAGAACCCCGCCTTGTGGGCATCCCTGTTTGACACTCTTGATTACTTTGGTCTCATTGAGCTGTCCCAAAATGGAGCGTTCCTTAAGCATGGATTCTATCCACTTAATAATAAGTGGTTCTATTCCATGCTGTTGTGCAGATTCACACATAGCATCGAAGGGAGTATTGTCAAAAGCCCCTTCGATGTCCAGGAATATACCTACTGCATACATTTTATTCTCTACAGCTTTCCCTATCTTAGTAGTTAAGCAGTGTAGAGCTGTATCAGTAGATTTCCCCGTTTGATACGCATGTTGGTTTTCATGTAAAGGGTTCTCCTTAAGAGGCCCCTCCTTGATGTACCTATCAATAAGTTTCTCCATAGTCTTAAGAAGAAAAGAAGTAAGACTTATTGGTCTGTAGGATTTTGCTTCATAATAGTTAGTGCGGTTAGGTTTGGGTATAAACACTACCCTAACCTTACGCCAGCTTTCTGGTTGATAACCATAGGCAAGGCATGCCCTAAATATTTTGCAGAGATGGGGGACGATTATCTCTAACCCTTCTTGCAGAAGTGCAGGGAAAATTTCGTCACAGCCTGCAGCTTTAAAACTGCCAAAGGCTTTTATTGCCCATCTTATTCCACTTGGGGTTATCACTCTCCTGGTTAGTCTCCAATCAGCACAGGTCACTCGTTTGTCCTGTGCGTCATGTTCCTGTTCTCTGTTGTTAATTGTAGAGTCAGGAAAATGTGTATTCATCAAATGTGATAATGTTTCATTATCATTATTGGTGAACATTCCGTCTGGCAGTAGTATTGCCTCGACAGTTTTGTTTGGTCCATTCCTTAGTGATCGCAGAAGTCTAGTTGCTGTAGGGAGTTGTTGTATATCCCCACAGAACTTCTTCCAGCTTTCTCTTTTGGACTTTTTCAATGCAGATTTGTAGTTCCTTTGGGCGTCCTTATAGGATTCCCAGTGTTGTTCCAAACCTGATTTCATTGCTTTATTTAAGAGCTTACGTGAACTCTTTCTTAATTTAGACAGGTTAGCATTCCACCAAGCTACACCCTGCCCTGTACCTTTCCTTTCTATTAAAGGACAGTTTTCTTTGTAAGCTGAGACAATGGAGTCCTGTAGCATATTTACAGCCCTTTCTTTAGTTTAAAATAATAATTATTTTAGAAGCGTATTTAGAGGAGTGATACGTGTCCTCTCCATTAAAAAGTCAATGCTGTAATAAAAATTGTAGATGACATTTTTAGATTTGATAGGAAGATGATTTTACCGTGTGTTTTTTTATGAAAGTACTTCATTCTCACTAATTTTAATGAAATATACATAAAAAAACGAGAATTTTATCTATTTGAACCTTTTATCTTCAATAATTTTTGAAATGTATTATAATATTTAATGATAGACTACAATTCGATAAACACATTTTACATATGATAGGTTCAACTAGGTTAAAATCGGATACTTTTGGCCTATTAATCATTAAACAGCTATAAATTATTTATTTCACTGAGTACTCATAAATTGTTATTTTTTTATTATTTTAAATATAGTCATACCCAAAATAAGTGATTAGTTATAACTTTTACCATTTATGTAATTTTATCAGATATAGTCTTTTTACTTGGATTCTGCTAAAAAAATTAAGTTTCATTTCATGATCCAACTATTAATTTCATTGTCCAGAATTTAGGAATTGGAACTGTTGACAAACTATTTTTGAAATTCCCGTACAAATGGTGGTCTGATAACATATCTGGATTCAGCTTTTTATGGTCTGATGCTGATCGTGAATTATTCATTAATGAAAACAAGGTATGCCATTATTAAATAATAAACGTATAGAATAATAATAATTTAAACATTTTTTTTTTATTATCTTTAGTTACACATTATTCTTGAATTATTAACTATGTAATACTTTTTAAGTTCATCCCTTATGCCTTGTAAGGGGGTCAACTTTGTTTTTTTAAATGGTAACACATATTTTTAATTTAATAAAATGTTTGAGTTTTTAATTTAATAGTAAATGGTATTTGAATTTTTAATATAACTTAATTCGTTCATTAGATATAATCATTTAAAGTTTCCAATTTTTGAATTAATATACAGGTATAATACACAAGGGATTACAAATATAGGTAGCTAGGTATCAGCAATGACGTATCTAAGAGTGTGGGAAAAAAGGCGAAGCCTACCACTAAAGCTTATATTTCTGGTAAAAAATCATCCAATAATTTATCGGTATTATCCCTTCCCATAGAAAAATCCTAAGTACGCCATTAACTGATGACTTAAACTAAAATTAAAATTTTAAGGTTTTAAAAATTCAGTTCTAAGGAATATATATTTCCAGTGGTATAATTTTTACTATGGTAACATATTTACACCAGGGCTGGATTAAGACAAGTTGAGTCAAATTAATAAAAATTTCAGGAGGGGCTCCTTCAATGAACATCTTAACCCAAATAATAAAATTATGAACGATAAAAAGGTCATCATTTTCTGCTAATAACCAGGAGTGCTCTTCCACGTAGCTCCCCTTAATCTAGGTTTAGTTAATACAATTAAAAATTAAACTTTTTCATATAATAATAAAAAATTCTTAGAGTAATGTAAATAAATTTAGAGTCGTGGATGGGATTACTTATGTGATGTCTTTGGTTTTTATAAATGTAATAATTGTCCAAATACATTATTGGGATGGATTGTTGGTTCAGCAGCTAGAAAAATGGAACGCAAATCAATCGATGAAATCAAAATAGGATTAATGTATTTATTAAACAAATTTTTAGCCGATAAATTCATCATACCATTTCCTGATTTAGTTACTAGGTAAATAATTAAATTAAATCCTATTTTTAAAATATCAAATATTTTAAATCATTGTAACAATTTTAACACGCTTATATTAGTTTCACATGTATGTTGTTTGTCATGGTTGTCGCCACGTGTTATTATCTCGCGGATCCCGTCGTCTATGGCCTTGAGACTAGACTGTCGTAACGCATTCACCCCACCCCGCTTACCACTCGCCACAATACTATTTTCCTGTGTAATTTTATTTTTGGTTTTCGTACCCGTATACGCGTGCGTGTCATGAATTATATACAGTGCTCGAATTGGCCAAAAATAAGTAGGGGAGCTCAAAAACTTGAAAACTGCGTCCCTAGCATTTTGAAGACCTTTTTTTTTTTTTTACTCATTACTTTATTTAGTAATTATTAATAAATTATATTTCATTATCATACTAATATTTAAAAAAAAAAAGAGATGGTATTTTACATTGTCCTCATAAAAAAAAGTAGTTGGGGTGCGCAAAAAAATTTTAAAAAAAGTAGAGGAGCTACGTCTCCCTGCGCACCCCCCCAATTCGAGCACTGATTATATATATAACAAATTTTTTTATTGTGACTGATACGGCCCCGCGTCGCTTCGTTATACACGATACCCCACGACTCGTGCCACCTTTATCAGCCGTCGCCTTATTTTATGAGTATTTCACTGACCCACACCGCGCGTTACACGCCGCGGTGCAAAGGTCCAGCAAGTGCCGCACGGTCGACGACGTTCCGCCGCAAATGATACCAAAGTCTTCTTCCCGTTGACAAAGTGACGTTGTCACTTTGTCAACGTCAGCGAGTGCCGCGATATTATGCGAAGATTATATATTCCTACCGCCGCCGCTAATATTAATATATATATATTAATATTTATATATACGTATATGTTAATATTCATTTATATATTCCTACACCCGACGCCGCTGCCGCCGTATATGTCTCGTGTATAACGTTTCCCCCGCCACGCCCGCCCACAAAACACGGCTATACTTCGTGCATGATACGTTTACGTACTTAAGTCGCTTTACATGTATATATATATATTCTAATTACTATTAAAACTTATATATTAATACGCTTTATTCTAATTAAGAGATATAGAGTATTCATTCCGATTACGAGGGATGATTTCCGTATCGTCATTTTTCGTCACTACCTCTACGTTGCCCGCCGCTGCTTTCCTTGGATGTGGTAGCCGTTTCTCGGACTCCCTCTCCGGAATCGAACTCTGATTTCCCGTTACCCGTTACAACCATGATATTGATAGTAACTACTATCATAACATGAAACTAAAAAGTGAAAAATATAGTTTAAAAAAACTAAAAACACGCTTTTAAAGCACATCGAACTAAAAATTATTTTGAACTGTTTAGTTCAATGTGCTTTAAAAGTGTGTTTTTAGTTTTTTTAAACTATATTTTTTATTTAACACTACGCTCTCTTGAAGTGTTTGCAACAGTGATTACCTAATGTCGACAGTACACTCACGTCGAAACACCGTCAAGGCAGCCGAGCGCGAAATTGGACTAGATTCATTTATGTCGCCCCTCGCGCACGGTCTGCAGGCAGTTTTTTATGTCCGAATTATAGAACTCGTGTTACATGAGTGAGTCCTTATGCCGAAACCAACCGAAAATATACTATTTTATTCGTGCTTCCTCATCTTGACTACATTTTCCGCCTAGAGGTCTTGGCAATCATTAAATACACTTAATCATTAATTTTACAAATTTTCCACTGATCCCAATGTTAGCATTGGCAAAAACGGCTGGTTATTTCCCACTAAATCTAATGCTCACGATAAATTATATCAATCGTTTTGAGTGGCCCATAGTTTGGACCGATACATGGCACTACGAAATTCATCAGTGTCCCGATAATCACTGAATATAATATATTCAGTGACTATATTATAATACAAAAAATATACGGTTTGATTACACCTTTAAAGGGTAATAAGCCGGAAAAGGATCAATTATTTTACATTCTAAGGTAGTATAATTTAATCTATACTCAAAATTTAAAAAATCTATCTTAAATGTAACCCAAAATATGGAGGTTTAAAAACTTTGGTGAATTGTTTTATGTAAAAATCTTTACATACGTGATTTACATAAGTACGTGTTTTTATTGTTTCACCCACTTTGAGTTATCCTAAGTGGTTAATTAGATTAGAACCATAACAAAATATAGTTATTATATCACACAATTCATTATTACATATATATTAATTAATGGTTAATCCTAGATCTCAATGGGGAACTAATAGTCATTTTTATGGATCATATTCATTTCACTCAATGAATACAGACAAAGAAGGCAAAGCTAACAATGAACTAGCTAAACCATTAGTCAATTCAAAAAAAAAAGAGGTAATGTATTCTAAAATTAAAAAAAAAAAAAAATTTGAAATACAAATTTTGACTTTTAATAACTTAATTTGTATTATATTAATAATTGTTATAATAATATAATATAATATATAATTATATAATGTTATAATTATATTAATAAGTATTATTATTGTTGCGTATACAGTCATATGGTGTCTTGTTGTGACCGCCCCATCAATATGTAATTGACCGCTGATAAAAATAAACCTCCAAAAAAATTACAAATTTAAAAACGCTAATTTTCAAAAATTTTTCAATTTTTAGCTTCGATGCGAAGCTGAGAAGGTATTGGTTTTACTAAGATGTGTTTTTTTTTTTTTTTTTTT